AACCAAACAATATTTTTGTTTTCTAATTATATATTTCATGAATATATATATATATATATATATATATATATATATATATATATATCCTAACAGTCTTTTATCTTCCACGCCGTACTTCTTTCCTATATATGCTATGGCTAAAGAGGAATAGACAACCAATTGACAAAAGTAAAATACCAAGAAATTTCTCTGAGCAATTTTACCTAGTCTGAACAACCTCAAAGCTTGTTTTCTTTGTGATGCAAGATGTACCAGCGGCTGCACCAGTCATGAGAGCAAAATTACGAGATTTTACCATGTAATTGCCTGGAAAAGCCTGTAATTCATGTATCAATTGTTATAGACAACTAAATAGAAGAAAGAAAATAAATAAATTGCTGCACGTTAAAATATGCACAAAAGGTAGACTGGACCGTTTATTATTGCTAAGCAACACTTAGATCCTTAAAAAATAATAAGAACTGGTTTTTTTATAAAAGGAACTGAAAAAAGGTCTAATTGATCGAAGCTTGCACTATATCATCAACCAAGATAGCATAACTCAGGCAGGTCACTAAACATGTCTTTGCTCTCGTGCTCCTGGAAAGATCACAAAATTGGTTGGCATCATTCTTGTAATATCAACCTCTATTGACAATTCATATTTTGTTATTGTATATGTGTTTCATAATCAACTTTTGTGTAAAAAAGTCATATGTGCTATTGTTGCTATTAAAACAGACAAAATTTAATATCCAAAACCAATCCATATACAGATCCAGGACATCAATTGTGCTCAAGGACATACCCAGGTTCTTTAACAGAAAATCGAAATCACATGAACCTAATAAAGCGAAATTATTGAGGATTACGACGATACAGCAGGAAGAACAAACCAAGAAAGCTCAAGAAATACGCGACTCCTCGGAAATACGGCTGTAAGCAAGGAGGACGAACGAACTGACAGTTCAAGAACAAGGAATCGGGGAGCGAGACCTGGGTCGTGGTCCGCAGGCTGCGCCCGGCGGCGTGGGAGGAGGTAGCGACGGGGAAGGCGGAGGCGAAGTCCGGCGCAAGGGTACCCATCCGGTCCTTCGACGCAGCACGCAAGCGGTCTCTGGATTAAAACGAGCGATCGTTTACAATGGTTATTTTGCATATCATTCGTTGTAAAGGGTAGAAATATCATATTTATCTCTTCAAATTTTAATGTGAATATATATATATATATATATATATATATATATATATATATATATATATATATATATATATACACACACACACTTCGATTTTTAAGAACCTCCAAATATTGTGTCCATTAATACCGTCAATAGAAACTTAATGATTAATAATTGTGATTGTCATTGATTAATATATTTTATTACGATCATAGAACTTGTAATAAATTTATAATATTTTGGGTCTCATTTTATATTTTCGTCTTTATTATATTTTTTACAAAAAAAAATATTTATTACATAAATGTGCAGAATTTTCGAGATGTTGAAGTATGGATGATATGGTGGACCGAACGCGTTTGCACCAAATCAACAGTCTTTTATCTTTTTATATACTTTTTTCCACGCACCAAATCTTGTAACTGATTCGAAAGATAACATGGGGACCACAGCGGCGAGGGATTAGAATCTCCCCGAAAGGATATGGTTAGCGTGTACGAAGGTAAATAACAACCGCCCGCAATAATCGCCAGAGACTTCGAATTTTATTTTTCTATAAATTATATATATATATATGTATATATATATATATATCTATAACAAGAAATATATCTATAAATGTTTCATAATTTTTTTCCAAATTGTATCTGGATGTTGCACTGAAAATACTTAAATATGGATATTACTTTAGGATAGCACTCCTATTTTCTCATTTGTGGGATACTAGTACAAGTTTTTAAATTCTGAAAGTATCCTATGACTTTATATATACTATAACATATCCAAAATTATTTAATGAGAGATGAATATGATTTATATTCCTAAAATATATTTTTTATTTTTTTATTTATTTATTATGTATTATAATTTATAAAAATTTATAATATTTTTATTTTTATTTATTTATTACTTACTAATTTAAAATAAAATATTATATTC